TCTTTTCTGGACTTGGGGAAAATGTTTGGATTTTTTTAAGTTCCTTGTGTTTGCACATTATGTGCCTGAGCCCAATTCACGAAATGTCATCACGGATATAAAGCGGGCATCCCAGTGGCATGAAGAAGAAAATGCTGGGGCTGGTGGTGGTGGTTACCTCACCATAACGTTAACAATCATTGTCATCAACATCATAAAAGAAGCCTGTGTTCATTAAGTACTTACTAAGTGCAAAACCAAGAACTTACATGCGTCACGTCACTAATCCTTCCAACAACCCTCTGAGGCAAATACACGTATTACCTTCAACTGAAGAAACAGAGTCTCTGAAAGAGTAAGTAATTTCTCCAAGTCACACAGGTAGTAAGTGGTGGAGCTGAGATTCAGACCCACTCTTAATCCCTAGACTGCACTCATTCTCACTGGCTTCCCCTTTCTCCCTGGGGTAGCGATGCTGACCATCCTGGGCCTGACATTCCAGCTTCCTGAAGGACAGCCCAGGTCAGCTCATCATCCTACACTGAATGGGAAATCCCACAGACAACTAAGTTTCCTGATAAATCCCCTGTACTCTAGTTCCTTGAAACCCTTTTTACAAAACCCACATAGCACTTGAGAAACGGAAACTTACGCGCCTTCTCCTCCCCCATTCCCCCCACTTTCACCTGCTTCCCCACAGGATCCAGTCGGTTATAACCTCTCTTGCTGTTTATTTACCTCTTAATAAGCCCTATCTCCTCTCAGAAAGCCATTTAGCCCTGCACCACTTAATTTCTCCCCAAGGCAGAATCTGCCAGATGGAGTCTTCGTCCCCAGCCACATCGATTTGTCTTATTTTTAAGCAGCAGTGAACATGCCACAAAACTAAAATAGCAATCAGTTCCCAGTTGTGGACTCACTGAGCAGGGAAATGACCAGGAGTGTGTGCATTTGTCCACCCGGGGCAGCTGTTCCGAACAGTCTGGATTAACCAGAGAATGACTCCCGAAAGTGGCTCCCAGCCAGCTGTGGCCACATCTGGGCGTCCCTCAATGCAGAAGCACGCCGCTTTTCTGCCTCAGCTGGATTCAGCCACTCAGCACCTCCTCGGGCTGGACGCCCCAACCCCGGAGCTATACACCCTTGCCTTTTCCACAGTTGAGGAGACAAAGCGGGCCCCCAGAGGATCAGGAAACCAGCACAGAATAACCCAGTGCAAGAAGGAAATGTCCCCGTTGTCACTTTTTCGTATCCCAAAATTCCTATAAAATCTGACTCTGATTCCATAATATTACTACATTTGGGTCAATATAAATATATAATTCTTCAAATTTTGTACCAGCTAAATTACTAAATTATGCCCCCCCCCCAAAATTTTGAACATCCCCAAAATCATGTTGTTCCCATAGCTTCAGTGCTCCTGGACACACACGACAAGATGTGTGCCTGGAGGCATATGTGCCTCTGTTTGAGCACGACCCGGAGATGGGCAATCTCTGTTTTGGGCAGGGTAAGCCTACAACAGGGACGAAGAGTGTCCCTTCACCACTGCATGTCATCCTAAGGAAGAGAAGATTACATCTGAAGGAAAGACAGGCGATTATTAACAGGACAGCAGTACTGGACAGGACCTCCCAGGGACCCAAAGAATAATAGAAAGAAAACAGAGACCAGTCTGATTTATAGCATCTTGTGTGGTTCCATTGACCTTGCGACACCTATCATCGTTATGAGAATTGACAAGACAGCACTCCAGCCAAACTCACAGAAGTGACTGCTCATAAATACACACACACACACACACACACACACACATACACACACACATATATTTCATAAGTTCATCTGCATAACATCCATCTTCCATCCCATTAATAATTCACATATCCCATAATATTCAGTGGAGCCCTTTATTAGAAGGAAGAAGAATGGATTTCAGTGTTCACGGGTGGAGGTGCATTGGCCTCGCCTTCGGTATGTCTGTGTATGTAGCGTTCCCAACTAGCTTTTGCAAACCTTCTGGTTTGAACCCGTGTGCTCTGGAAGTGTTGGCAGTCAGGATACTGCTCAGAGTCAAAGGCGTTCTCCTTAAATCCAATCTCAGTACCGGCCAGATTGCTGAGATTACAGCAAGCACCCAATGGTGGGCCATCCCCAAAGGCATTACCCAATAGGGCAGACGTCAAAGGGAATGAATTTCAGCGTTCAAAGGAAAAAGAGCAAAGACAAGTTGAGTGATAATCCTTTATTCCTTGGAGCAATTTTACTGTAATATTCAAGGATCCTTTTTTTTTTAAGTGTCCTCTCAAAAAGGAAAAAAAAAAAAAAAAAGCAATAGAGAAAGCCTCCCTCCTTCACTGTACAAGATTCCTTTTCCAATGGAGAGTATCTGCCATTCCAATTTCTTTAAGTAGCTTTATATTTGGACATTTAACAGGTGTTCCCAAGGCTGCTCTGAAGAAAAAAAAAATTCTTCCCTGAATCAACAGATAAATTTTTTTTTCTGAAATGGTAGTGAGAAACAGATCTGGGGGGACTCTCTCTATTTTTCATGGTAAAAATAAAAATAAAAAGTAAGGTAGAGCAGATGATAAGCTGCTCTAAAATAAGTTGATGGAATGAAAAAGTGCTTAGAAACCTGTTATTTCCTTTTTCCATCAAAAGAATTATTATTATTAAAATGCTACAGATGGGGCTTCCCTGGTGGCGCAGTGGTTGAGAGTCTGCCTGCCGATGCAGGGGACACGGGTTCGTGCCCTGGTCCGGGAAGATCCCACATGCCGCGGAGCGGCTGGGCCCGTGAGCCACGGCCGCTGAGCCTGCGCGTCTGGAGCCTGTGTTCCGCAACGGGAGAGGCCACAACAGTGAGAGGCCCGCGTACCAAAAAAAAAGAAAAAGATACAGATGCACTGCCCACAAAATGCTCAGAAGTGGTCCCCGTTTGGGTGATACTGCCCACGGTTAACCAGTGGCTGCTGCACTGGGCTCCCTAGAGCATGGGCACTTCTGCAGAACTCTGTGAGTCTTTAGAGTTACAAGACTGCTTCCTAATTGTAATCCCTGATTATTTTATAGATTCTGATCAGATTTTCCCTTGGTTGGCCTTCCAGAAGTCTTCCAGATGGATGTGCATCTATTTCAGGAAACTGAGGGAGTCCTTTGAAAGGATCTTTTTGACAAGGAAAATGGGGTCTTAGGAGGGCTTGCTTGGAGTTCTCTAAAGGGCCCCCAAAGAAAGGAGAAAGGCGTCAAACCCTTATCCTCCTCAAGGACTTTTACGAACTCAGAGGAGAAAAGTGAAATTCGTCACGTCTCTTCCTCTGTGGAAGAGTGGTCTTGTCATGCCCAGGGCAGCTCAGATTCCAACAAAAACAGAAGCAGTAACATGCCCAGAGAGGCTCAGCATCAGTGGAAAAAAACAGCAAAAGAGAGCCTGCTTCTCCAGGCCTGGCTGGGCTCAGAGACAACCAGCTGCAAGCCAGCTGGACCTAGTTTAAAAGACCACATGTGGAATATTGGTTTGGTCCCAGATCCCACATTTAAAGAGGAACATTTCCAAACACAGCCTTAGAAGAGCACTCACCTCTAAGACAGATCTTGAAACTGTGTCACACAGAATAATTGAGGGCACTTGGAAAGTTGAATTTGACTTGGCAAGTCCAAAAGGCTTCAGAAGACACCTGATGAATAAAGTATTTTTCTAGGGCTTCCCTGTGTGACGCAGTGACTAAGAATCTGTCTGCCAGTGCAGGAGACACTGGTTCGAGCCCTGCTCCGGGAAGATCCCACATGCCTGGAAGCAACTCAGCCCATGCGCCACAGCTACTGAGCCTGCGCTCTGGAGCCCATGAGCCACAGCTACTGAAGCCCGGGCGCTTAGAGCCCGTGCTCCGCAACAAGAGAAGCCACCACAATGAGAAGCCCGCACACCGCAACAAAGAGTAGACCCCGCTTGTCACAAGTAGAGAAAAGCCCGCATGCGGCAACAAAGACCCAAAACGGCCAAAAATAAAATAAGTAAAATAAATTCATTAAATATATATATATTTTTTTTAATGGTAGAAGATGGAGTAAATCAGATTGCCTGGGAGAGCAGAATTAGTTCAATATTTGGCTAATCAGAAGGAAGAATTTCGTAAAATGAGGCCTCTTGGAAACGGAATGTATTGCCTTGGGGAGTAGCGAGTCCTTCTGCCAGGGCTGTAAAAGCTGATGCTGCCATCCCACTGGAGAGGAAAGAGGGGAATGATTTCCAAGAGGTAGGATATTCAAGCAGTGAAAACTGGGTTTGGTGTCAAGTTGGACCCAGACTCGGGGTTCAGCTCTGTTTTTGTAAGGCCTTGGGAAATTTCTCTTGAACTCTCAAGTTCCTCATTATGAAATGGGTATAACATCTCGTCCAGTGACTTATTATGCAAGTAAATGAAGTATTAATTCACCCTAGTGCTTGGCACGGTAGAAATGCTAAATTCACAACTGTTGCTGCCCCTGTTATTACCTGAGCTTGATAAATTGGATAGGGAGAGAAAGTACATCATTTTCTCAGATTTCTTTAGCCCTCTGATCCTGTGATCACTGTGGGGCCCATCCTATCAAAGTCCCTGGTGCCATCTTCCTAATTCCCTGCTTCCTATTTCAGCACCACTGCAGATCTTCCTAGACAATGGTCTGTATTCTCACCTTCCCCACTGCCGCTCTCCACCCATAACCAGAAGCAGTCTTTCCTATACTCCATTCTTTTGTGACCTTGCTTTCTACAGTGATAACTGGGTATTCTAGGAAGTGATGTATATCTAGGAAGTGAGATTCTATAGATCATGCTTATAGATCATGCTATAGATCATGCTTAGCTTTTCTAGAGATGATGATAGTGGTCATTTGGGGCAAGGTAGTATACAGAGTAGTCCTGTGACAGGCTGACTGGAGGATATTAGGTGCAGGGGGGAACCTTTTCCGTTCACTCATTCACGTTCTGGAGAACTTTCACATTCACTCTGACCCCTGTCTTTCTCCAACCCCAGGAAAGAGCAGAGCTACACGCAGAAGTGCTGGAAGGATGTGCAAGTGGGGGACTTCATCCAAATGCAATGCAATGAGATCATCCCAGCCGACATACTCCTCCTCTTTTCTTCGGACCCCAGTGGGATCTGTCATCTGGAGACCTCCAACTTGGATGGAGAGACAAACCTCAAACAGAGGCGTGTTGTAAAGGGCTTCACACAGCAGGTAAGGCTCTTTCTAAGATCTTCAACTGGAATGGCCAAGGGAAGATGCCAACCAGCTCTACTGGGAAACTGGATTTAATCTGGTGTGTAGAGGTGAAAGTAGTAGATGCCTCCTTTTCCCAGGCACTTAGGTACACTTGATCTTCCCACCAACTCTCTGAGATGGATATCATCCCCTTCTCACAGATGGGGAAACTGAGGTTTGGGAAAGGTAAATAACTTGCTGAAGGCCTCAGAGTCCTTAAATGGGAACCCCCTCCATTCAACTGAAGAAACTGTGCTCTCTGCTCTAAACCGAGGAGTCTAGTATCTGCTCAATTACTCTTGAGACCAACCCACTTTTCTGTGCGTATCCAATCCTGGCTCATCCTGCCCAGCTCAGCTTCAGCAATTTCTCCCTCCATGAATTTTTTCTAGTACTCCTTTGACCACAGCATAAAAGCAGCAAGGCACCATTAACTATTTTTCCATTTGTGTAGGTCTTACCTTCTCAACAGTACTGAAACCTCTTTAAGGACAGGGAGTGACCATCAACATTTTAATTTAATCCCCACTTTATGTGTGTGATACCTTGGATATCATGGAGGAATCATGATTGTTTGGTGGTTAAGAGCCCAGGCTCTAGAGTCTGGCAGAGCTGAACTCAAAGCCCAACCTCCCCATTTATTAGCTGTCTCACCTAAGGCAAGTTATTACCCTCTCACACCTTCATTCCCTCATCTGGAAAATGGGCACAAAACTAGTACCCTCTCCATAGGGTGTTTCTGAAGACTGAATTGTTACTGAGCCAAACTTGGTTCTGCTTGCCCACGTGCAATGAAGCCAGTCTACTAACACTGGGTCATAGTGAAGGAAAACGCAGCATTTATTGTAAGGCTCCATACAAATAGTCTGGGACAGCTAGTGCTCAAAAAGACTGAACTCCCTGATGGGTTTCAGGAAAACATTTTTAAAGGCCAGCTAAGGGAGGGGGGTCGCAGGGTATGTGATCTCCTCGTGGACAATTTTCTGATTGGTTGATGGTAAGGGAACAGGGTGGTGTCACAGGGTTTATCAATCCACAGGCTCCAGTAGGTCTTGGGGCTATGTGCTCATGGTCATCAAGTAGTTAACATCTTCCATTTGATGGGGCTTTTCATGTCTGTAAAACAACTCAGGAAATGTGCATCAGATACTATTATCTAGATACTTCAGAAAGGAACTAAAGCAGGGAATATGGGGGAGAGGTCAGCCCCAAAAAGGCCCCATAAGGTCCTGCTCGATTATAAAATAATATGTACATGAATTACTTAGCATGAAGCTAGGCACATAGTAGGTAAGAGACCAGTAAATAGTTGGCAGTAAATATCAATGGCGTTCATAGGCACTATGTGTTGACTGATCGAAACTGGGTGTGATATTCCAGTTTTCAATTAAAATTCCCCTTGAAAGGGTTGATTTCCCATCTGGTACCTTGCTCTATGCATGGAAAAGAATAAAATTCTATCACTCCTCTTCATCCTGACAGCCTGTAGCTGGGGAGAAAACGGATGAATCAGGGGATTTAGAAGAAGGAAGACAAGTGGTTCAATCCTCAGAGATGCTCATGAGCTAAAGTCTCGTTATCTAGACAGAAACTTCTCAAGAGAAGGCCACTCATCATACCTCACTTTGCCTCTCTCAAAGCCCCCGATGAACAGTTCTCATAAAATCGCTTTTCTATGATTGAACTCTGTTCTCTCATCCTTAAAATGGGAATAATAATAATAGCTCTCCCAGAGTTTTGCCGTGTGATTCAAATGAGATAAGGAAAGTAAAGAACAAAATAGAGGGTTTGCTGCATTGTAGATACACAATAAATGGTCTATTGCTGCTACCTCAGCTACAGTTTCTACAGTGGGAATGGAAACCACCATGACCACCACGCCGTCATCTTGCTTTGTGGTTGTGATAGTGGCTCAGTCCTCCCACTGGTGCCCAGGCTCTGTTGAGTCAATCATTGCCCTGGGGCTTGGCGTCTGAGTTTTCTCTCCTTTGCTTGTCCTTGTCACACTCACCCAATCATCCCAGCGTTTACAAAAATGTAGGGCGGGATCTGGGTAAGCTCACAAAGCCATTCTAGACACAAAATAACAATCTATTTCTTGGCTCAGGGCCCTGTGGGCTGCCCTCTAGAGCAAAGGTTTTCAAGCTTTTTTAACCATAACTCACAATAAGAAATACATATTGCACACACACACCTATCCACATGCACATGTGGGTATGTGTGTGCGTGTATAAAACTGCCGCCTCAGTCATACTACGTGCAAAGTACTCTGAAACTTTCTATTCTATTCTATCGGGTTTTGGTTTGTGTTGTTGTTTTAATTAATTTATTTATTATTTATTTATTTTTGGCTCTGTTCGGTCTTCATTGCTGTGCACAGGCTTTCTCTAGCTGCAGTGAGTGGGGGCTTCTCTTGCTGTGGAGCACGGGCTCTAGGCGCTTGAGCTTCAGTAGTTGTGGTGCGTGGACTCAGTTGTGGCACGCAGGCTCAGTAGTTGTGGCTCGCGGGCTCAGTAGTTGTGGCACGCAGGTTCAGTAGTTGTGGTGCAGGGCTCAGTAGTTGTGGTGCACAGGCTCAGTAGTTGTGGCACGTGGGCTCTAGAGTGCAGGCTCAGTAGTTGTGGCGCACGGGCTTAGCTGCTCTGCAGCATGTGGGATCTTCCCGGACCAGGGCTCGAACCCATGTCCCCTGCATTGGCAGGCAGATTCTTAACCACTGCGCCACCAGGGAAGCCCTGGTTTTTGTTGTTGTTGTTGTTTTTGTTTTTAAGTTCGGGGAGCAGCAAAACGTGTGTGTGTTTGTAAATCTGCCCTTCAGCCGGCCCACCCCAACATCCTCACCACAACTCTGAGTCTTTTATTCTTTCTCGGGCAGTTATTTCGGCGCTGTTGAGGTTCACCCAGTCCCTTCTCTTTTTTGCCATTGGCAGCGGCTCCCAAGCTGCTTCTTCTATATTAATTAGTCTGATAGTTTGGGATTTGACTAGAATGAAGAGCTGGATGAAAGGGTCATTCACGCTCCACTGCTATAAACCAGCCAATTCAAGTTAATCACATCTCTCAAACTCTAACCCTGAATTCTCATAGGGTATTTGGTGTAATGATTTACCAAAATAAATAAATAAATAAATTCACTTGTAAAGGGAACAAGATTTATTTGATTTTGAAAGTTTCCAGAATTCTCTATTCTATTTCAATTCTTGATTCTCCCCCTCACTTTGCTTAAATGTGCTTTTCCACTTCTATAAGAACAGGGATAAATAGTACTAATAATAATGCACTTTTTTAAAGCCCTTATAAGGTAAGTGAGGCACAGAAACGTGAAGTAACTCGCCCAAGGTCACTAAGCTCGGAAGTATTGGAACCAGGATTCAAAGCCAAGTTTGTCCAGTCTCAGCTCTTAAGGTTTGCAGTAGCTCATCTCCCTGGTCCTTTGACTCTCACCCAGACTTTACCCAGAATTGCTTACTTGAAAACACACATTTGTCGTTTTCAATATTCTTTCCACATGTAAGTTACAAGCAGCAGGAAGAATAAAAGCAGGCCTAGCCAGCTCCCCGGGGAGGAGGAATTTTAGCTGCTCTGTGCGATCTTGCTTCTCCCTTATGTCTTCAGTGCAAAAATATTTCTGAATATGGATAGAGTTCTCTTCTGACTAACTCTATATATAATATTTCTCAAATGTGTTGAACAAAGATGTTGATGAGAGTTGCAAGAAAAATACATGTTGCACTGTCAAATAAGATCAGAAGGCAATAGGTTACAAGTTTTCCAATAGTGTGTACTGCAGAACTTCTCAGATACTTTAATAAAGGGAGAGGGAGGGGGAGGGAGGTACTAGTAGATAATATCTCTAATTATTTAACCTCAGAAACCTTTGATTCCAAGGACCATATCCCAGGACTACTACAGGAGAGGTGGGATCACAATTTAGAAATTTGCCTTAAATGCATTGAAGGTGTTTTGGATGTATCATAACCATCACAGGGAGAAACTTTTTCATACGTACATGCATCCTTCCCCATTATTTTCACCAAATTATGATTCATGGGGACTGAGTAGTGGTCTGGACATGCATATTTTTTAAATGTTCTCCCAGATGATCTTAATATGAACCTACCACTAGTTCATCAAAAACCTGTATAATAAAAGGAAGGTGTTACTTCCAAAAAACACTCATCATAATAATGGGAATAAAGCCACCAACTACAGGAGTCTTACATGTTTTGCCCATGTTGTCCTTTGTCCTCATGACCATCCTGTGAGGGAGACATCACTACTCCATTAGACAGATGAAAACCCTAAGGTACAAAAAAGGCAAAATTCACCACTTGTCTCAGGGAAGATTTTGAACACCTGCAAATGTGGTTTGTAAATTTAGTATCTTAAATAATTAGTATTAATGACTTTTTTTAGCTTGTTATTCCTGTTGGCTATGAGACTTTTATGTTGCCAAAAGGGGGTTTTTACTAACCTCAGAGATTTCTAGAAACTCCCAACCCCACACCATATACCCACAACCATTTTCACTGCTGTGTTCTGTTCATTGAAAGTCAATAAGACAAACTTTGTCCCAGCTCCCCTAGATGAGCACTTCTCAAGGTGGAGTCTGCCAAACCCTTATCTCAAGAGATAGTTCTTAAAAAACAAGGTGTGTGGTCAAATCTGATTAGGAGGCCGAAGTCCTGTGGACCCCTCTTGGAGGTTCTAATGTCCATGGATATTTTAAGGTCTCAGAGAAGACCTAGAGGAAGGAGGCCAGTTAAACTTTCTTTAACCCTGAGCTTTCCAAACTTATTTAACCTCAGAACCATTTGGGGCACAATAATTTTTCACCTTAATATGGAAACTTGAACACATTAATCTACATTGTGTGGAACACACGTGATCACAACAGGTGAGGAATGACCGAGAGGCTGACTATCCTCATGGCTTAGACAGCTCATCCTTGCCTTTCCTGTCTAGGTTCAGGGGAA